ACGATAAATTTTCGACAAATCAGCAACCATGGATTTATCACAAAATGAACAAAAAAAATAAATTTACGTCATGTGACACTTTGCGTAGTCATGGCTTAAATAATTCAATATCTAACCATTATTCTTTAAATTTACATTTTTCTGATATTTTTTTTCTGAATTTTTATTATCAGTATTTAAAGATGAAGTATTTTCTTTAATATTATTCTTATGACTCACAGAATCCACATGTCTCAAAACATGTGTATTGCACGAAATATTTTTATTACATATTATACAATGATACAAGCTCTTATCAAAAGATACTTTACGTATCCAACATTTAATTCGATCATCATTGAGCTAAGCCTCTGAAAAGCTTCACTTAGATTTTTTTTTAACTCATCGCACATTTTTATGAAATAAAAGATAGGCAGAAACAAAGAATTAAAAAAGAGTGAATAAAAAAAGATAAAGACTAAAAAGGATAAAGATATGTAGGAATTTTAAATAATTAAAACACATAATCGGGATTGTGATAGTTTCTTGAACATCAAGATTTCACAAGGCACGTATAAAAAAATACGTTTACTCGATATACAAGGCGACAAGATTATCTGAAAACACCGCGAAACAAATGAACGGTATAAAACAAATGAAACGGCATGAAACAAATGAACAAAGTGTGCTTCATTCTCAGTACACGAAAAGACGAACGGCAAGACGAACTTGCGCTGAGCGTCAACATGTCTCGTAAGTAAATCATTATTTGTAATAAAATACTAAGAAATTTTCATGTTTTCAATTTTTCTAAATTTTAGAGGAACTTAATGCGGAAATGGGCACACTCGCTCTACAAGAGCGCAATATGCAGCAGCTGATACAACAATTGTTGCATCAGTAACAATTGATACATCAGCAGCTGTAATTATATATGCTACAGTAGCAGCAACAGCAGCAGCCACCGCAGCCGTCGCAGCCGCCGCAGCCGCTGCAGCAGCAAAATAGTATATTACTTTTTTATATATTTAAATTATATTTTATCAAATTATATACACACTCGCAAAAAAACGGGCCACTAAATTTTAACACAATTTTTTCACATTCTTAAATAGCGATAAATCAGCAAAAAATCATTATATCAAGATAAAACAAAGCTCAAATTAAAGCTTGAACATTTCTCTTAAAAACCAAATTTGAATTACAAAAAATTTTTTATAAAATGGTGGACGTTGACGATAGCTTTCGAAAAATGGGAAACAAATTTTTTTTTTAAACTATTGCGTTGCTCAGGAGAATCTACATGCTAATACACAAATGTATAAGTTTTGAAGCTCATTTATTTCCTAACAAATCCATATTTTGAACAATTTTCTACGACCTTTTTTACTAAAGTTATACCGTTTTAAAGAAAATGTTGCAAAATGGGACTTTTCTTGTAAAATCTGCAATTCAACAATAAATTATCGAGAAAAACTTTTTCAATAAAAGAAATTAAGTGTAACTCGACCCAAAATGCTCCATATGGTTGGATTTAAATCTTGTGTGAGTGTGTGCGTGTTCATATGCATTTACGTGTATCCTGCTTTTGGCATTATCCAGGATCAACGACGTGGACGTGGCAAGAATCTGATCCTATGTGTGTGTGTGTGTGTGTGTGTTCGCGCGTGTGTGTATGTGCATGTGTGTGTGCGTGCGTGCGCGTGTGTATTTAATAATGCGTATTGCCTCCTTTTCCATTTATAAATCCTTCGATTTGTTGGAGAATATTGTTAATCAAATTTCTTCCTGTTTTAAATTGTTCGATTCTTTTTGCAAAGCGTTGCGGTGAAAAGACCCATTTTACAACATTTTCTTCAAAACGGTATAACTTTATTAAAAAAAGTCGTAGAAAATTGTTCAAAATATAAATTTGTTAGGAAATAAATAAGCTTCAAAATTCATACATTTGTGTACTAGCGTGTAGATTCTTCTGAGCAACGCAATTGTTCGAAATTCATAATTATTATCGCGATTTGAAAATTCGATCAAATAAAATCCGCATTTTTCTATTATAAAACCCGAAAATTCGAATTTAACAGGCATCGAGAAACTTCTCGAAAAAACTATTTTTGGCAAAAACCCGACCGTTCGAGTTATCTCTCGTTTTTTTCGGTACTTAAGAAACGCTCGGTATAAACAATTGACAATAACATTGTCAACCGTTGACAATAGCTAGGCCACAAAAGAGCATGCGCGCCCATACGTCACGATCAGCTGATCGCCAATCAGTTGATCAAAAAAGACCGTGCGCATGACAAGTGCGAAAATCTTAACTTTTTGACCTCATCGGCGGCCAATAATGCGCGGCGCCCTGAGGTCACCGCTAAAACCGAAATTAATTGGTCCACGTCGCAACGGGCCCAAAATCTCGCTCGCAATATAATGGGCACCGCGCGTGGACCCGGCGAAGTCTCGCACTTTACGCTCTTAGTACCGATTATTCGCTTTGTTCTACCGCTATACTCTAAAACGACCGCTATTTCTCTTGGACATTCGCTATTTCTCGGCAAATTCGCAGATTAAACCGCACACGACGACTGCTATCTCTTTCGGACTTTGATTATCCGCACGTTTCCAACACTCAATTCGCTACGCCGCTCGCGAAATCGCGCACGATAACCGCTTCGCTTCATTGTACCGCTCGTTTTTTCACTCTGGATTGTCATCACTGCACTGAACACTTATCACTTTTATTCTTGACTTTAATAAAGTTTGTCCTTTGTCTATCGGAGTCAAATGATCTTTTCACTGACGACCTTTCACTTTCCACATTTCACCGCCGGACTCGCTCGCGAACATTTCTGGTCCTTCGAGCCGGAGTATTATCATCATCATCCGCGTCCGCTGCTTCGTGAGTGATCCTCTCAGTGTCGTGCAGTTTTGTGGCGTGCAATGATCTCTGAAAACACAAGAAGAACATTGTGCATGAGTATTGACGTTAAGGTATTGCTGGAGGCGCAGCACGACATCCACGGTCGGATCTCCCGCGCCGTGGATAATTTTCGGAAGATGGGCGTGAGCAACATCACCCGCGACGCCATCCAAGCCCGCATCAGCATCCTGGACAACCTCTGGCAGAAACTGGAGGCCCAGTATGAGCTCATTCAAGTAGCGCTGAAAGACCGGTATCAGGAGAGTGAGTACGCTGTATCCAATTTTATCGAAGTCGCGGAGAATACTTACGTGACGCAACGTAGCACGTTGACCGGCTACGCTGAAAAGCTCAAGGGCGAGACGCCCGTTGCGGCCAAAGGCGAGCCGAATCAGGAACAGGCTCCTAAAACCTCGTTGCCGCGCATCAAGCTTCCGACGTCTTCGGGATCGTACAAAGAGTGGCCGTCCTTCCGCGACCTCTTCCTATCGGTTATCGGGGGGAATGCGTCAGTCTCCGACATCGAGCGCTTTCACTACCTCCGGTCTTGCGTCAAGGGGGCCGCTGAAAAATTAATCAAGTCATTAACAGTGACCGGTGACAATTATCATCGCGCTTGGTCGGTTCTGTGCAAACACTTCGAGAACAAAAGAGAGCTCATCCGTTCTAATTTCGCTGCGTTCACCTCGGTTCCCAAAATGAAATGCGAATCCGCGGAGGAACTCGGTCGCATCCATAACGCCATTACGACCGCAGTAAACGCGCAGGAGAGTATAGGGAGGCCCATCAACTCCCATGGCATGGATCTCCTTAATTTCCTCGCTATCGAGCTCTTTGATTCGCGCACACGGATGGAATGGGAGTCCTCGACCTGCGACTCCACTGATCCGCCGGATCACGACACTCTCGTCAACTTCATCGCCAAGCGCATTCTTACGCTAAATGCCGCCAAGCCGAGATCACCGTTGAAGAACTCCGAAAGTACGTCCCGAACCGCAAAGGCTCACTACGCGAAGACCGGATCCGATCACTTGAAGTGCGCACTGTGTCAGGGAAAACACGCGCTTATGCACTGTAACGAATTCAAGGACAAGCCCGCGATCGACCGAAGGTCCTTTATGGAATAGGGCAGACTGTGCTATAATTGTCTTGGGAATCATTTGATTTCCAAATGCCAGTCTGTAAAGACCTGTCTAACGTGCAAGAGCAAACATCACACTACGCTGCACGACGCGTATGTTTCGTCCTCGTCCAACGAAGTAAGCGCTCTATCCGCGATGCACTCCCGCGTCTGACCGCAAGACGATCCTCCTCGTGACCGCCCGCGTGCACATCATTAACCGCGCCGGGGATCTCCATCCAGTTCGAGCGATGCTCGATCAAGGCTCCGAGGTGTCGATCATCTCCGAGGCGCTGGTCTAACGCCTGAGGCTTCCCCGCTCCTCGGTGTCCATCATCGGCATCGGCGGAGCTCGATCCGGGTCAACCCGCGGCAGGGTGTCGCTCAATCTCTCCTCGCCGGTCACAGGAGCCAAACTTAAGGCCGTCGCCTTTGTGCTACCCCGCCTGTCGGCGTATCAGGGTTCCGCGGTAAACAACCTCGCCTCCTAGCCTCATGTCCGTGGTCTTGAACTCGCCGACCCCAGATATCAGGAGCGCGATCCGGTCGAGTTATTGTTGGGCGCCGAAGTTTACTCGATCATCCTGGAAGTCGACCTTCGCAAGGGTGGTCCCCAAAAGCCCGTCGCCCAAAAAACCGCCTTGGGATGGATCCTGTCAGGAGGGTCCAGCTCGGTGTCCTTCCAAGGTCTCCGCAGTTTCCTGCAGTGCACTGTAAATCAAGAATTAAACCAGCTTGTGCACAACTTTTGGGAACAGGAGAGAGAATTGTCTCCCCCGGTTGCACCTACGCCAGAGGAAGAGGAGTGTGAAACCTTCTTCACTCTTACTCACCAGTGGACAGCCTCCGGAAGATACGTCGTACGTCTCCCATTCTCTTCCTTGCCAACGTCGCTGGATGAGACGCGAAAACCAGCCGGAAGCCTCTTGAACGCTATGGATCGTCGGAAGCAGAAAAACCCTGAGTTCGGTGTCCGATCGAGAATTCATGCAGGAGTATGAGGACCTGAAACATATGAGTCCTGTGAATACGGTCGGCACCGCTGGATGTTACCTACCTCACCATGGAGTCCTCCGCCAGTCCAGCTCCAGTACTAAGCTTCGCGTTGTCTTCAACGGGTCACAACGCACCACCTCCGGAGACTCCTTCAACAAGCATCTGTTTATCGGCGTCAACTTACTGCCAGCACTAGCTGACGTCCTTCTCCGCTGGCGCCGGCACCGCTTCGTGTTCGTCACCGATATTGAAAAGATGTTCCGGCAAATACTCGTCCATCCAGAAGATCGCCGCTTCCAGCGGATACTCTGGCACTCAAGGGCTTCCGACAAGAATTCGAGCTGAACACCGTGACCTACGGGCTCGCCTGCGCTCCGTTCCTCGCCGTCCGCACACTTCGCCAACTAGCAGCAGACGAAGAAGCGCGGGGCCCGAAGGGGGCAGCCGCTCTGCGCCGTGACTGTTACATGGACGATGTAATTACTGGATCGGACACCTTGCGCGATGCGGTCGCTTTACAGACGGAACTCCGAGAGCTTTGCACGGCGGGCGGGTTTCCACTGCGGAAATGGGCCGCCAATAGCGAGGCAATCCTTGAGGGAGTTCCTCAGAATCATCGACTCCAGCAGGCGCACCACTCCTGGGAGAGCGAGGTGCACTTCATCTTAGGCCTGCGCTGGCATCCCGCCAGCGACGTCTTTTCTTTCTCGATCCAGCCTCGAGTCTCTGGGGGATACACGAAAAGGCGAGTCCTAGCGGAAACGGCGCGGTTATTCGACCCTTTAGGATGGCTCGCCCCCGTTATTATCCGCGCCAAGATACTAATCCAATCAGCGTGGTTGAGAGGGCTGGATTGGGACACTCCGCTCCCAACGGAGGACGCGCAGTCCTGGCAGCGCCTTCTCTCCGAACTCCATTTACTGGAGCGCCTCCGAATAAGGCGCTGGCTGGGCACTATCCACCAGGGCCCGCAGATCGAAATCCATGGGTTCGCCGACGCGTCCGAGCATGGTTTCGCGGCGGTCGTCTATCTTCGCGTGGAGAGTGCCGACGAGACGTCCATACACCTACTGGCGGCTAAAAGCAAGGTCGTATCAATAAAGCCCGTGACGCTTCCACGGCTAGAACTCTGCGCTGCATCCTTGCTGATGAGACTTGCACAGCACCTCCGGTCTTCGCTCAACCTACCATCGACATCAGTATACCTCTGGTCCGACTCCCGAGTCGTCCTCCACTGGATCAAGGGCCATGCATCACGGTGGAAAACCTACGTGGCCAATCGAGTGTCGCTGATTCAGCAGCGGCTCCCCGAAGCTCAGTGGAGGCACGTCCCTGGACAAGATAATCCCGCCGATTGTGCATCCAGAGGCATCACACCAAGGGACCTGTTGAACCACCCCCTTTGGTGGAACGGCCCGGCCTGGCTGCTCAAGGATCAGTCGCTATGGCCGGACAGTAACGACCAGACATCGATAGAAAACGCTCCTGAAACAAGAATGACTGTATTAGTCGCCACCAGCAAGGACAGACCGGAGCCGGAAATCCTCCTCCAGTTTTCAACGCTGCATAGGCTCTTACGTGTCTCCGCCTGGTGCCTTCGTTGGCGCCGAACTTCTCGCCACTCTCCCAGCACTGCACTGCTCCCGGGCGAACTCGACTCCTCTCTCCTCCGTTGGCTTAGGGTCGTCCAGGGAGTCCACTACGCTGCTGAGCTCGCCGCCGTGCGGGAGTCTCGTCCAATGCCTCGCGGCAGTCACCTGGTCAGACTGCACCCCTTCATCGACGACGAGGGAATCCTGCGTGTCGGTGGTCGCCTGAAACACGCAATACTGACCTACGATGAGCGGCACCCCATGATAGCACCGCCCACTTCATGACTCACCAAGCTCATAGTGGAATCTTGCCACCGCCGGACGCTGCATGGAGGCACGCAGCTCACTCTGGGGCTCCTGCGCCTCCGCTTCTGGGTTCCGCAAGGTCGAGCAGTGGTCAAACGGATCCTGCACCGATACGTGACTTACACCCGCTGGCGAGCCAACACTCCACAGCCTCTCATGGGCGACCTCCCTCGAGAGCGAGTTACTCCTACTCGTCCCTTCTTGAGAACAGGAGTCGATTACGCTGGCTCGATATTAATCCGCACATCCAAAGGGCGTGGACATCGAGCGCACAAGGCGTTCATAGTTGTATTCGTTTGCCTTTGTTTTAGAGCGGTCCACCTTGAAGTAGTTTCTGACTACTCCTCAGACGCTTTTCTCGCCGCCTTCCGCAGGTTCGTTTCCCGCCGAGGACTGTGCGAGGAAATGTACTCAGACTGCGGGACAAACTTTATCGGAGCGGACAGGCAACTTCGAGAATTTTTCCGAGCATCTTCTTCCGACGGCCGTCGCATCTCTCAGGCAGTCACCAAGGAGGGTATATCCTGGCGCTTCAACCCCCCTAGCGCACCACACTTTGGAGGGCTCTGGGAGGCGGCGGTGAAGTCGATGAAACATCACCTGCGACGAGTGATAGGAGAGGCTACGCTTACCTTCGAGGACATGAGTACTCTTCTGACTCAAATCGAAGCGTGCCTGAATTCATCATCACTTATCTGACTATCAGAGACCTGTCCGCATGATCGGGCATCTCCTCATAGGCGCCCCTCTACTGGCAGTTCCAGAGCCTTCATCGGCCGAACGGTCACCAAACACGTTGTCGCGGTGGCAATTACTCCAGCGAATGCGCTTCTGGCAGTGATGGTCCCAGGAGTATCCACGCCTTGGCATCTCGACCAAAATGGCTCAAGGCCGAACTCGCTCCGGAGATCGGAGCTTTGTGCCTCGTCCGTTCGGAGTCTACTCCACCTATCCGATGGCCTCTCGCGCGTATCATCCGGTTACACCCAGGAAGCGACGGCACGGTCCGCGTTGTGACCGTCCGAACATCCACTTCGGAACTCGTTCGGCCGATCGTAAAGCTCGTCCTTCTGCCGGGAGTCAAGGAGGCCCACACGCCCGCGGACGAGTAGCATTCTCGAGCGTTATTCTCCCCGCGTAGCGTTTTCGCGCTTCTCTGTACATATTGTAATATAATGCACTTCCCTTCGCTTGTATATATTGTATATTTTCTATGTCAGCTGTCTGTCACTCATTCCGCGATTTCACCGTGTGCTTTCACTATCACTCACTCACTATCACTCACTCACTATCACTCACTCACTATCACTCACTCACTATCACTCACTCACTATCACTCACTCACTATCGTTACGGAAACCTTCGTCGATCATTGCGCTTCACATTGTACGATTTTCCATCCTTTTTCACCACTGTAGAAATTTCACTCCATACCGCATTACTCATTCTCGCGAGAGACTTAACGAAACTGTTCAACACGTGTCTTCTCATTACGTCACACATTCCCTTCATACATCGCGATCAATAGCTCATCAATGGAACAGTACGCGACACCTGTCCGCATCCGCACACACTCACAAATTTCGTCATGTAATGACGAGGCGGGCGGGATGTTCGAAATTCATAATTATTATCGCGATCTGAAAATTCGATCAAATAAAATCCGCATTTTTCTATTATAAAACCCGAAAATTCGAATTTAACGGGCATCGAGAAACTTCTCGAAAAATCTATTTTCGGCAAAAACCCGACCGTTCGAGTTATCTCTCGTTTTTTTCGGTACTTAAGAAACGCTCGGTATAAACAATTGACAATAACATTGTCAACCGTCGACAATAGCTAGGCCACAAAAGAGCATGCGCGCCCATACGTCACGATCAGCTGATCGCCAATCAGCTGATCAAAAAAGACCGTGCGCATGACAAGTGCGAAAAACTTAACTTTTTGACCTCATCGGCGGCCAATAATGCGCGGCGCCCTGAGGTCACCGCTAAAACCGAAATTAATTGATCCACGTCGCAACGGGCCCAAAATCTCGCTCGCAATATAATGGGCACCGCGCGTGGACCCGGCGAAGTCTCGCACTTTACGCTCTTAGTACCGATTATTCGCTTTGTTCTACTGCTATACTCTAAAACGACCGCTATTTCTCTTGGACATTCGCTATTTCTCGGCAAATTCGCAGATTAAACCGCACACGACGACCGCTATCTCTCTCGGACTTTGATTATCCGCACGTTTCCAACGCTCAATCACTTCGCTACGCCGCTCGCGAAATCGCGCACGATAACCGCTTCGCTTCATTGCACCGCTCGTTTTTTCACTCTGGATTGTCATCACTGCACTGAACACTTATCACTTTTATTCTTGACTTTAATAAAGTTTGTCCTTTGTCTATCGGAGTCAAACGATCTTTTCACTGACGACCTTTCACTTTCCACATTTCACCGCCGGACTCGCTCACGAACAGCAACAGTTGAAAAAAATAATTAGTTTCACATTTTTCTTCAACTTCCGCCATTTTATAAAACATTTTTGTAATTCAAATTTGGTTTTCTTGGTTTTTAAGAGAAATGTTCAAGCTTTAATTTGAGCTTCGTTTCATCTCAATCTCAGTGATTATTTGCTAATTTATCGCTATTTAAAGATGTGAAAATTGTGTTAAAATTTAGTGGCCCGTTTTTTTTGTGGGTGAGTGTATATATATATGCATTATTATAATTTATTTATCTTATTTTTCAGAAAACAATCTAAAAAAGAGGAGGTAGCCAGTCCCGTGCCCCGTGGTATGCCTGGCGGAACCCGGGGTATCAGGGGCGGATGGGACGCCCAAAATAATGGAGACAAAAAACTGCTTGCAGTCGCCGAGTAATTATCGTCGCATTGTCGCGTCGTCGCGTCGTCGCGTCGTGTAGTCGTAACGTGTCCGCGCGTGTTTCTTTCATCGAGTGATTTTTAATCGCCATCAGTTATTATTCGACAGTGATTAGTGATAGTCATTAGTAAATTTCTCGTCTGGAGTGAATAAATAAATGTAACTACGTTAAAGTTTATAAAAGAATGCAGTTCATGAAAGAAGAAAAACTTTCAGTTAATAATTTAGTGTGGATTTCTGTCTTGTGCAACGTGATATCTACGTTAAATTTGAGAACGTACGATCTATCAGAAAATTCATTTCTCTTTCAAGCAATTACAGCAATACATCAGAAGTCATCGAACAAGGTAATGATAACTATTTTTTGACGTCATGTGAAAACGGATCTCGGGAAGGACAGAGGGTAGAGAACCTCTAGGAGAGAGAATGGACAACTGATCAAGCTTCTTCATGATTGGCTGGCAGAAAATGTATCAATTTTAGCTATTGCGACGCCAATGCAAAATATGATGACACACAAATAGGTTAATATAACCTATTTGTGTCATGATATTTTGCATTGGCGTCGCAATAGCTAAAATTGATACATTTTCTGCCAGCCAATCATGAAAAAGCTTGATCACATGTCACATGATCAGTTGTCCATTCTCTCTCCTAGAGGTTCTTTAACAGAGGGACAATGTGTCAAAGAAAATTTGTGAAAAGATAGGGGTTTTTAGTGGGTAGGGAATACCGAGTTGGTAATTCGACTTGGTACTCGAGTCCCATATAACTCACTGGATCGACCGATGGGTATGCATAAAATGCATTTTCCCCTCCCTCATAAAAAAAAATTACACGTGAGTGAGCGAATGAAAGAGAGAGAGAGAGAAAGAGAGAGAGACAGACAGACAGACAGCAGACAGAGAGAGAATGTATGTGTTCGCATGTGTGTCTGTATGTATAGCGATCAGCTGATCGTAGCAGGCGCCCCGCGTAAGCGCCCGCGTCTGACGGGTCTCGCGTCACCCTTGCTTGCCTCTTGTATCCGACCTGTCATGCGTTAACTTCTTTCTTTAATAATTCGAAAACTAAGCTTCGGACGAAATTTTGCAAAAGGAAAAATCGTCTTAGAATTGACTCAACAATGTGTCATTTCACGGACACAGGGGTTATTTTAAATCACCCTGTATATATATATATATATATATATATATATATATATATATATATACCTATATACAGGGTCATCGAAAAGTATCGGACCCTCCTAATATCTTCAGTTAGAATGCATTTTGGAGAAAATGTCCAATAGCAAAGTTGTATGGTTTCAAGTGGGGAGTAAGATGATGACCTTGACTTTGACCTTGACTATGTCCTTCAAGGTCATTTCAAGGTCAATCTAATTTTTTTAAATGGAACCCTTACATTTTATTGCATATTCTTATAGCTTATCTCGAGAGCTTTCCAAATCACTATAATTAAGTATCTTTTCATTAAGTACTTTTTGAGTTATAAGGCTTGAAATAATTTCTTAATTTTACACAAACCATAAAATATCTAGTAAACCATTCATTTTTCGATTATCTTACCTTGATACTTTTATGTACAAAATAATAAGAGGAATCAATTGGTATAAAGAAAACATACAGTTGTTTTTAAGAAAAAATATGGAATTGTTAATTGCAAATTATGCAATGAGATGTTCATGGCGAATGTCACGGCGGTGCTCGCGGATATCGATTTATGAAGGGCGTGCGGAATGGAGTGCGTGCGATTTTATGTATGCCGTCACGGCCTTCGTATGCAGAAGACGCGAGCAAGAGCGTTGCTCGACGCGATACTGAACGTGGACCACCGGCACGTCGAGGTGTTGCAGATCCATCGTATACCGACACGCTTTGGTTTCGAGGACGACGATGTCAGATCGGCGCTCCTCGTAAAACTCAATGATAGAGACGAGCGGTCGCTCCTATCGGCGTTTCGCGGAGGCGAGCTAGTCGGCCCGTGGCGAAACAGGCCAGCGTTTTTCGCGTTCTTTTAGCGTTTAGCGAAAATTGATGCGTGAAAGACCGTATCTGGCGTCCAACTTCGAGATATCGAGACGGTCTTCGTTTCGCCACGAAAACCCTTTATCTCTGTTCCTCCGAGCGCGAGTATATTATATTTGCCCTGTGTTTTTGAGGGCGTTTTCGCTCCCCTTCGCATTCTCCTCCCTAACACCCTGAGGAGTGTTGTAAAATTATAAACTGAAAAGAAAAGCGTCGCAAAAATTTGGAGCTCAACGTGGGGCCACGCGTTGAAAAGGAACAAATTCGGGGAGCTTATGCGAGTTAAATTTGTAACGGCGAGGCCGTTACTAAACAAACACGCGCTGCGCCAATTTGGCGCCAAGCGCCGCCGATTGAGCACCTCGATTAAGCCGCAGATTGAGAATTGCGGCCTACCCCACCGCTACACGCATGACCGTGTGGGGATATCGCGTGGGGGTAACCAGCCGAGTATATAAGGCGGCCGCTCCGGCAGATCGACACCTATTCCTGTCCCGACTCTCGGGACGCTCGAAACCACAGGGCGCTCTCTGGGCATTCGAAGCTTACCGAGCTTCTATCCTCGCTCTCTGGTCCAGAGCACGGTCTCTACCGTACCCGGTCGGGTGCATTCGACAATCAGGAGCAATCCGTCGACCCACGGACGATCCGATCCAGGGTACGGGCGTACCCGGACTCCCGTACTCGGTCGGTTGCAACCGACGCCAGGACTGTCCAGCTCCCAACCTCGCAACCCGAATAGCCGTTCTCACGGCTCCTGGACGAACAGCCGTTTTCACGGCTCCTGGACGAGCAGCCGTTCTTGCGGCTGCTGGACGAGAGACACCTCCGATTGGAGTACAATTGGACACAACTGGCTTTGATTGGCTAATCGTGCTTGATCGTGCTGGTTACCTTAGGCATCAGTCGATATGATTGGCTGTGTCTAATCGTACTGTGTCTAATCGGGCAATCCCCGCTGGACGATAGCCGTTTTCACGGCTCCCAGACGACAGCCGTTCCCATTGCTTCTGGACGAGTGCCGTATCCACGGCATTGGAGGACAACTGTTCCCCCAGTCTCTGGACGTCGACCGTCCGCCGGCTCTTGGGATACCAGCCGTTTTCACGGCTTTTGGAGTAACAATCATTTGTATGGCTCCCGAAATAAATAAAGTTGGTCTCCGCGATCCTAGATCTCTAGCCGAGTTCCCCTCCTGCGGCCGTCAAGCGACCGCCCGTTCCCCGGCTTCACGTCTCGCCAGTTCGCGGTTAGTTATACTTTGTGTCCTGATTTAACTCCTCTGGTCTAGAGCCCGGTTGCTGCCAGGTCCGGTCGGTTGCTACCGACGTCCAGTATCCCGGTGTACCACGGGCGCACTCGTGTACACCACCCTGAGGACGGGTGCTCCCGTCTTCGGCCAATCTCGGTTGGCAGACCCTGCTAGGTCCGTGTCCGTGCCTTGTTGCACGCGATCACCCTTTAGGTCTTCCGCGTCCGCGTCCGCGAAGGGGTCTTGCGCGTTACGCGGCGGGTAACCAATAATCGCTCTGTAAATAGCACTGGGCTAAGACGTGTTCGTAAATCCGTTTCGCGTCGGGAACCGTACTGTAAATAATATTAGGCTAAGGCGCGATTCCCCTGTACATAATTCTTAGGTTTAAGGTGTATACTTGTAAATCCTGCGCGGGCTCATTGCCCGAAACATGCCTGTCTGTTTAGTTTAGCAACCCAATTATTTAATAAAGAACTTGTTTTAAACCGAACACATGAGTAGTAAGACTAGGCCGGTTCTAACTCAGGTCCTCTCAGGAGGGGTGAGGCGCGAGGAGAATCGCGGTGCGGGGGAGTGACGTCACCCGCGGAGAAGGGGGATCTGCGGCGCGAGCGATGGACGAAGGGGTCCGCGCAGTGAAGGGGAATCCGCGGCGCGAGTGATGGACGAGGGGGTCCGCGCAGTGAAGGAGGATCAGCGGCGCGATCCATGGACGGGGGGTCCGCGCAGTGAAGGGGGATCAGCGGCGTGAGCGATGGACGAGGGGATCCGCGCAGTGAAGGGGGATCAGCGGCGCGACCGATAGACGAGGGGGTCCACGCAGTGAAGGAGGATCAGCGGAAAGAAGACGGTGGTGTGAGAAGGACAGCGCTACGTGTGGAAAAAGGATAGTGCTACGAGTGCGACAAGGATGTCATCATCGTGGGACAAGGACGACGCATAGGTGGGAGAAGGACGACGTAAAGGTAAGTGAGCAACGAGTATATGAAAGAGAGAGAACGATAATATTCTAAGCCAACGCATGCGAGAAAGACAACGATAATATCGCGAGACTTACAATTAGCGCGCGCGCGAAAGAGAGAACGATAGCGCGAAGACGACGTGTACAAGAGAGAACAATAATATCGAGATTAACGCAATACTTACAACTAGCGTAAGAGAGATGTAGAGATGGGGACGCAAGGAGAGGCGGGTAAATAATCACATTTTAAAAAAATTGAAACATAAAATTTATTTATTAATAATCTATACATTTTTGTGTCAGCGTGAGAGATAGACTTACAACTAGCGCGAGACTTATGATTAACGCACGAGAGAGAGAACGATATCGCGAGACTTAAAATTATCGCGCGAGAGAGACGCAGGGATGGGAACGCGAGGAGAAGCATGCAAATAAGTAGATTTTTTAAAAATTAAAATATAAAATTTATTAAAAATGTGTGTGTGTGTGTGTGTACTTAAAATTAAGATTATGATAAAATAAAATTTTAAATATAAAATAAAATATAAAAATTAAAATACTTTAATAATAAAGCTCGTTAATACGAATTAAGAAACATAAATACAATAAACAGCCTGATACGAGCTAAACTGTGGATGGTAGGTCAGTTAAAAAAAACAAAAGATTAAAAAAGAATGTCAATAAGTCGCATTTATTAAGAGAGCGACAAAAAAGTGAGAAAAGTTTCGATGCTTACTTGCATCTCTTCAGTCACGAAGTGTTAAGATTCAAAAATATGGTCGCATTTCGAATATAAAGTCAACGTGTGTTGTGTGACAGCTTGGTTTCTAATAAAAAAATTACATACGCAAAATTAGATACATGAAATAAAAGATTAAATAAAGAAAAAATAGCGTGAAACTTAAGGAAACCGTTACAATTAAAATAGATCGTTTGTAAAAATTCTCACCAAATCTCCTAAAATTTGAAACCTCCACACAGACTCGAGTCTTTGTATTAAAAATTAAAAACATTGTTGTGGCAACGGTAGACAGTAAGACAATGTGAAAGTGTATTATTCTCACCGCAATATAAATAGATCAGGATCGACAAGCACAATGCGAGACAAACAAACCATCATAACGAATCTAATAGTGGAAAATACATATTATTTAACGCTGATAAATCCTCAATTTTATTTAATCCATTTTTTTGTTTTTTGATGAAAATCATTTCCGAAATCAATCTTTTAAAGTAATGGGGTTCATGGTCTAGTATTTTAATTTCATCCCATCCTATAGAGTGATTTTCATTAATGATATGGTCAGTGATAACAGATGGTTTGAAAGGCTGTCCAGCATTATTCCTGTGCTCCCTCAATCTAGTTTCAAGATGTCTCTTTGTCTGTCCCACGTAAGAAGCGTCGCAATTATTACACTCAATTCTATAAACCACATTATTTTCTTTTAATTTTGGAGTGGTGTCCTTGTGTACCTTGATGAAACGGTTCAAGCGGTTGAAACATTTGAAACCCGTAGAAAATTCAGTGTTGTTAAAAACTTTACAAACGCTTTCAGATAAGCCTTTTATATAAGGAACCGCTATGTATTTTTTATCCCCTGAATCGGCATCAATTGAACCGTTAGATGTGTTATGGTTATCAGATTTAGTGAAAAGGAGTGTTTTTATTCTAGTGGACACGTATTTGAAAATAAACGGAAGAGGGTAGCCATTACTTAATAGGATGTTAATGCTAAGATTGATGTTCTTCCGATGGAAAGTTGGATGAGACAACAGAATTGATTTATCAATTAAGCCATATATTGTACCAATTTTGTGGCAAGTTGGATGATTAGAAAAAAAGGAGAGATATCTACCTGAATAAGTATCCTTATGAAACCAATCTAAAATTAACTTGTTGTTATTGATATAAATTTTGAGGTCCAAAAAATTAATGCTTCTGTCGTGTTCCGGTTCAACTGTGAATTTTAATCTATTGTGGAAAGAATTGAAAATTTCAACCACATTCTGTAATGCATCTCTGTCCACCGCCATCAAAATATCATCAACATAGCGATAATAAAATTTAATTTTTTTGCCGATTTTAAATAAGGCTTTGTTTTCAATATCCTGTAAGACTAAATCTGCTATTATCGGTGATAGAGGGGAACCCATGGGAGTTCCAAACGTTTGCCTGTACACCTTTCCGTCAAAGTTAAAATAGGTGGAGTCAAGGATAAATTTGACTATTCTTAAAAATTCTTTTTTCGGTACACTAGTGAATTTTTCTATATAAGACCATCTGTTTGAAATGGCACCGATAGCTAATTCAGTTGGGACATTAGTAAACAACGACACCACATCCAACGACACTAAAATATGATTGTCATCTATTACGGTATTCGATAAAATGTTATAGAGCTGGTAACTATTTTTAACAGCACTTCTGGCAGTTGGAAGACTGCTTAAAAGAACTTTTTGAACAAATTTAGCTATGTTATACAACGGGCTGTTAATAGACGAAACAATGATGCGAAGAGGAAAATTCTGCTTGTGAATTTTCGGTAAACCGTAAATTTTTGGCAGTGAGCCATCACTTGATCTCAGTGTATAATATTGTTGTTTGGATAT